AGGAGGAGGAGGAGGATGAGGAGGAGGAGGAGGAGGAGGAGGAGGAGCCGCCGCAGGAGAGGCGTCCGAGTGACGAACACCAACCGCGTGTGAGACCTGAGAGCCACAGGGATGGCGGAAAAGGCGAAAGCCTGGGAGAGGGTGGGGCGTCTCAGGAACACCACACCCTAAAACCTCCCAGGGCCCAAACAGCTACGCTAGGGTGCAGGGGTCGGGCCAGAACGCGCCGCGCCTGCCCCTCTCTGGCGGGGCTCCAAGCCACGGGTGATCCTGTCAATCGCATTGTGCTGGTTGGCCCGAGTCTTAGGATTCTCTGAAAACCCCTGGCACACAGCCCGCAATTTGCGGGCTGACCTGAAGGACTCGGGCCCGTTGAAATTGCCCCCGCATTTACGGCAGCAATAAACGGAATTCACACAGAAAACGTCATGCCCCAATTCAGCGAATTCGGCAAGCACTGATTGAGGAGCGTCGGCAGAGCCACTGGAAGCACTCGCCTGCACCACCGAGGTGGGCTCCCGAGGCTCAGGCGTGGACCCCAAAATCCTATCAGCAGCCTCAAGGGCAGCCGTGACTCTAGAGTCCGAACTACTAACCCACGCCTCAGAGCCCCGCCTGAAGAAGTCGTCGGCCAAGCTCTGGACCAACGGCGTGGGAGCACAAACTCGATCTGCCCCTGAGCGAAGAGTATGGAGGGTACACGCACTTCGAGCGACTCGATTGCACCGACGACACCTATACTCTGACAGCCTCTGGCAGAACAGCAACTCCTGGTCCTGGGGCCTCTCGGAGACCACACGCTTGGGCACCTGGACGAGCTCAGGGTCCCGCACCACGATAGGATCCGTTCCCCACTTACGAAACTGAACCACCTGGAAGACAGCCCAAGACACATAATGCAGGACCTGCTTGTGCTGCGTCAACGCAGCGGCCAAACTCTCGGCCACCGTTTTGGACACCATGTGTGCGGCACTGCCACACTTCGCGAAGAAGTCGGCCCAGGCATTGCCGACGAAGGCCTCAAGCTCGTCTGGCGTGGCCCACTCGATGATATCATCCAGCTTCCTGTGCGCTGGAGTCCACTGAAACCGCGCTGGTGGCAGACGTGGATCACGTGCTCTGGCAGCAGAAAAAATGTCTCTCCAGACGCGGGCGTGCTTCGCTTTGCCAAAGTCGAGCTTCTGGTCCCAGGACGTGCCCTCATCAACGAGCGATTTCAGATCTGAAATGAAAACCTCGTGCCCAGGATGCTTCTGAAGTCCCATCTTGATGGCATAGCGCTCAGCGCGGCCTACCGTCTGCACATAATAGGGCAAGGGCCCATATACAGCTCTGGCGGGGAGCCACGTGACGGGGTCCAACTGGCAGACCGACCAACCGCACCTACGTACTTCAGGAATACTGGCCGAGAACCCAGACCCATCAGTATAAGATGTAGGCCACCAGGAGCCTGAGACATCTCCCCACTCAAAAACTTCATTGGAGACCGTAGTGTAGTGCGGCACAGCCACAAGCTCAGGGACCCCATGGATCAGGTACCTCTGGTCCCAGTCGGTGCACCCCAGCTGCTGCCCAGACGCCTGAAGCATGTCTCGAACCTCCTGAAGCTGTTCTGGAAACTCATAATATTCCTGGTCGGGGTTCCCTTCGAGGAGCGGCGGGCAGTCGTAAAATATACGACCCCAACAGGAGTCGATAGCCTTGCCACAGGCCTGACAAGGCCCAATGGGCCTCCCGAGCTTCATGTCCCGACGCGGTGGGATGGGAAGATTGTCTGCCCACAGAGCCTGCAGCGCGCCGAGGCGCCGATGACACTTTATCTTGGCGGGCGAGTGGCGTAGCGCACGATGCCACACATCCGCCTGCTCGGTATAAACATGCTGCTGCAACCTATGGTGCTGCCAGCGCTGGATGCCCTGATGCAGGGGCACACGCAGGTCTGCTGGACATATACGATATAATTCAAAACTATTTCCCAAATCGTCGACCAGGATGTGCTCAGACGACATAGTCCAGGAGATGCGCCCCAAGGTAAGCCAAGTGGCCCCAAGGGGCCCTCGCGCTTTAGACCAGGAAGGTGAACTCCCGAACTTGGTACCCAGACTGACCCAAGCCTCCCGAAGTCTGCTAGGTTGCACACGCCCATCCCAGATCCAGGAAGCATATTTGAGCACAATGTCCGTGGTGGCGTTATATATGGGGTCGTAGCATTCATCCCGATGAGATATAAGGTACGCTGTTACCCCGACCAACGTCTTACCTGGAGCACCATTTAGGACAGCAGCACAATGTCGCAACTCACGAAGGGCGCTATCACTAACTCCATCAACTGCTCCGCCATGCGCCACTGATGGAAAGGCGCCCGTGCGCCACAGGCTGGTAGCACTCCGCCCCACGGCGGACTTCAACATGCGAAAACGATGCTTGCGCTCACGAAACTGCACCAGCCTACGCCTCTCCATACGCCGAAGAACTCGAGGTCCTGTGAGCTCGTGACCCAAATTCCTCATGTGGGCCCTGTACGGGATCTTCAAGGTTCCCAAGTGCCTCTTGAGCTGCCCCCAAACCTTTTGGGACCCAGGGATACATCCAGACTTCGGCGGCTTCAGGACCATCCCAAGATCACCAGCATCAGCAGTGAACGCCTTGGCCGCTCGGGCCAGGTTGGACACCTCCCGCAAGACGGGCGACACGTACTGCAGGCCCACATCGTCCATGAGCGTGCGTGGCGTGATAGTAAGTGCAATACTAGCCGTGCGCTGGACCGCTCGATACGTGAGGAGATATAAAAGATAAGTGGCGTGTGTGCAGCCCGCAAGAATACCCTGATGGGCCACCAAGGGCCTGGAGACGGACCCAAAGCACTTGATCCTTCTCGGCTGGCGGTAGGATCCCAGGAGCAACCACAGGAGCCTCAGCGGGTACCCGAGCTCTCTGGCTTCTCGGAGAAGTGCGCTGTGACTGACCATATCGAAGCACTTGGTCATGTCCAAGAGAATGGTGCAGGTGTGTTCACCTAAGAGTTCTCCTATCTCCTGGCTCAGGTTGTGGTCGAAGGCTGAATCGGTCGAAGTCTGCCCAGCCCTGGACCCCCACATATGTTCGCAATTGTGAGCCTCTTGCCGTTCCGCAGAACGCGGCCGACGAAGCTTTCCCCACAACCTGACGAAAGTGTTGCTGAGGACGATCAACCTAGTGTCCCCGTCAGGCTTGGGCAAGCGAACAAGCTCACTGTAGAGCCTGTCAGTAGG